TACTCTGCTATAAGTGCAATTTGGATTCCCTCAGTTGACCTCCTAAGAACCCCATGAGACAGAGAACCCTACTGTTATCCTTCCACAAATGAGGAAACTGAAGCACAGAGACTGACCCACACATCAATCAAACAAGAATCTCATTCTCATGCATGGAACCAAGTCTGACTGGCAGAGGCACTGTAATTGAAATTAAGAGCTCTTAGTCCCTACAGTTTTTTCAATTAAACCTAAAGACTTTGAAAGCCACTTTGCTGAGGTCCAAAAGTACTTGTGGAAGACGTACAAGTGTGACTTTTGAAAATGTGTAGAACATAAACACAGCTAGGATTTCTGTCAGTACAAGTGTAACGGGAGGAAACTTCAGGGAGAGAAAGAAAGGGAGGAGGGAAGATGAGGGGACCAGCGGGCGAAGGAGCACAGAAACCTTCGAGCATTCAAAGGGTGAAGGCGGAAGAGCCACTCCATCCCCACTCCTCCAGCAGCAAAGATAGAGTTGTTCCTGTGTGACTCTGCTGTAGTTAGCTAGCATGTGTGCTGTCGTCTAGGTGGAAAAGAAAGTGAGAGGAGTACTTTTGACTTCATTAATCTCTGCTCCCAGCTGGGGGATACACTCTTTACATCTTTGCAAAAGATCTGTTGCTAGAAACCGTTTCAAAGTTGCTGTCCGGGGGGCCAGCGCTGTGGCATAGCAGGTAAAGCTGCTGCCTGCAGTGCCAGTATCCCATATGGGTGCCAGTTCGAGTCCCAGGTGCTCCACTTCTGATCCAACTCTCAGCTATGGCCTGAGAAAGCAGAAGAAGATGGCCCAAGTCCTTGGGCCCCTGCACTCATGTGGGAGAACCGGAAGAAACTCAGGCTCTTGGCTTCAGATCAGCACAACTCCAGCCATTGCAGCCATCTGGGGAGTGAACCAGCAGGTGGAAGACTTCTCTCTCTGCCTCTGCCTCTGCCTCTCTAACTCTGCCTTTCAAATAAACACACAAATGCTTAAAAAAAAAAAGTTTCTGGGCAAAGAGAAAAGAACTTCACCCTACCATTGCAGCTGGATCTCAACTCTTCCCTAGGTCTCCATCCTGGTAAACCTGCAGAGTTTAGATCTGCACCTCCACATGGGCCAATTCCTTAGCACAAATCTTCCTATTAGAAGCAGGCGTTGTGATGCAGTGGGCTAAGCCACTGCTTGGGACACCCACATCCCATCTCAGAGAGCCAATTCTACTTCCACCTCCTCTGCTTCTGATCCAGCACCTTGCTAACACACCTGGGAAGGCAGCAGATGATGGTCCAAGTACTTAGGTTCCTTCTGCCTATGTGGGAGAACTAGATGGAGCTCCAGGCTCCGGACTTCAGCCTGGCCCAGGCCTGGTGGATGCAGGCATTTGGAGAGTGAATCAGCAGATGGACGAGATCTCTCTCTCTCTCTCTCTCTGTCCCGCTCGCTTGCTCTCCTTCCCCACTTCCCCTATCACTCTGCTTTGCAAATAAATATTTTTTTTATCTAAAAGAAAAACTTAGGAGAAAACATATGTGCGCCAGGATCTGTCAAAAACATGCTGGGTTAGGTGTCTGGTGGAGGACTTACATGCTGCTTGGGATGTCTGCATCCCCTTCTGCAGTGCCTGGCCTCAGCCCCCCATTCCAGCTCCCAACTAATGCGTACCCTGGGAGACAGCAGGTGACGATTCCCAGAACTGGGTCCCTACCAATAACGTCAGAGACCTGCACGGAGTTCTCAGACCCCAGCTTGAGCCTGGCCCAGCCCTGGTTGGGGAGTAAACTGGCAGATGGAAGATCTCTGTCTCTCAGCCTCTCAGAGAAGTTGATTTTTTAAATAAAAGATGGACAAAAAGATTGGTGAGAGTGTGGAGAAGTCAGACCCTCCTCTACTGCTGGTGTATGCATACGGTATATGCTGATGGGAAGGTAAAACGGCGCAGCCACTTTGGAAAACAGTCTGATAGTTCCAGAGTTACCACATGATCTAGCAATTCGACTCCTAGGCACATCTGCCAAAGAAAGGCAGAGACGCCCACATGAACACTTGCAAGTGAATATTCATAGCAGCATTGTTCACAAGACCCAAAAAAGAAGAACCCACCCAAATATCCATGAGCTGATGAACAGACTTTGAAATATAGTAAGTATATCCATGCAGTGAAATGCTGTTCAGCCATAAAAAAGAATAAAGTGCTGACAAACGCTCCAGAATGGGTGAGCCTCGAAGCAGTAGGCAGGAGAGGGCAGTCTGCACAGGACCACGTGTTGCATGACTCATTTTGGCAATCCAGAGAGATCAAAAGTCAGTTAAGGGCTGTCGAGAGCTGGGAACCAGATGTGGGTACAGGGAATCGCTGCTACTGACCCCAGCATTGCTTTGAGGGTGAGGAACGGATTCTGAAAGTGATTGCAGAGATGGCTAACAACCATTATATTGTACACTCCAGATGATAAATTATATGGTATATGAATTACATCTCAGTAAATTAAAAAAAAAAAAAAAAAACAAGAAAATTTAAACAACTTATATTTCAAAGGGATGTACTTCTTAGGTGGCCAAACAATTAAGTCAACTAAACTTATTAAGAATGAGAACTCTGGGGCCAGCTCTGTGGCACAGTGGGTTAAAGCCTCAGTATGCAGTGCCGGCATCCCAGATGGGCGCCAGATTGTGTCCCGGCTGCTCCACTTCTGATCCAGCTCTCTGCTATGGCCTAGGAAAGCAGTGAAAGATGGTCCAAGTCCTTGGGCCCCTGCACCCACATGGGAGACTCAGAAGAAGCTCCTGGCTTTGGATCTGCACATCTTTGGCTGCTGTGGCCATTTGGAGAATGCACTAGCGGATGGAAGACTTCTATCTCTACCTCTCTCTCTAATTCTTTCAAATAAATAAAATAAATCTTTAAAAGAAAATGAGAACTCCGTAGCCTCAAGGAGACAGGAAATACCAGAGAACAGTTCACACAGTATTATTTCAGGAAATTGTGTAAATATATAAACATATATCAAATGTGTGTGTGTGCGTATGAGGCCATCCAGTGGGGCTGGGGGGCAGTGGGCCCCTCAGACATGGGTAGAATGTCCTTCACAAGCAAGCTGTCGGCTGTGGCTAGAAAGCCTGTCCCCAGACCGAGTGGCATCTGCCCCACTGATACAGCTTCTTGTGCTGCACGTGTAGCCTTGCGGCTTTAAATCACACCTCCAGGTTGGGTGCAATCTTTCACCCAGAGCTGGCAGAGGGGGCTGAGTCCCTAAGGAGACAGGCCGTCTCCAGGAGACCCCTGCTATTTCCATGAGCTCCAAGCCAAACATGTACATATGTATATGTATACATATGTGAAACCCCCCCATCCAATGGGTGCCCCAAGTAGGATGACTCAATGAACAGATAGTAATGCCTTAAACATTTCCTCAAAGCCAGTGTCCTGCTTGGTCACTCCGCCTGCTCTCCTCTCAAACCAGATTTTATCTGTCGCTTGCCAATCAAATAAAAGTTTCTTTTCTGTCAAATAAAAATTTCTGCCTCTTTGCAAAGTGGTTCCCGGCTTTTTATTTCTACACTAAGCTGAGGAAAAGAACCCACAAGAAGACTGGCTGCTTGCACTGTGCTCCCCTCCACAACTGGTAACAATATATATACTTGAACTACATCAGCATATACCATGTACTACGAAGTAACAAAGGTATATGGACTGGCCTTCTTAGATCTTTGCAATTCAGTGAATTTGCCCCAGAAATCTCCTGCTGCCTGGAGATTGGCCAGCTCTTGGCCCGAGAGGCTTTCTGAAGCGTCAGGGAGATCTTCCTCGTGCTGTGACAGAGGGAGATCCCTGGGGAGCCCTCCAGCCCTACGCACGGAGGCCTGGGAGATGCACTTGCTTCTCCATCATCTCTGCAGGTGCTTCTGTGGGTAAATGGGGGAACTAAAGACGTATCTCCAGCCCTCCCAGGTAGACACCTTCCCCAACATACCTGCTGCTTCTACCATGAGCCCCAGAGGAAGGTCCGGGATCCTGCCTGTCCTCAAGATGCCAACACTGGGCCCATTAGCTCCTCATTCCACACAAGCAGCCAGCCTGGCTGGGGCTGGAGCTGAGGCCCCCACACTTCTCATCAACCCCTGCTACCACCCTCCACACCGGGCCTTCCGGGTCAGTGCCCCATCAACCCCTGCCACCACCCTCCACACCAGGCCTTCCGGGTCAGTGCCCCTTCAACCCCTGCCACCACCCTCCACACCAGGCCTTCCGGGTCAGTGCCCCATCAACCCCTGCCACCACCCTCCACACCGGGCCTTCCAGGTCAGTGCCCCATCAACCCCTGCCACCACCCTCCACACCAGGCCTTCCGGGTCAGTGCCCCTTCAACCCCTGCCACCACCCTCCACACCAGGCCTTCCGGGTCAGTGCCCCATCAACCCCTGCCACCACCCTCCACACCGGGCCTTCCGGGCCATCGGGATCAGTGCCCCAGCTGAGAGGAACAGGTGCCCCTCTGCATCCTCCCGAGTGGTCACCATCTGCACCACCTCTCACTGACACACATGATGAGAGCACCACATCAGCCATCTTCCAGAACTTCCTTTACTTCCTGTGCTGCCTGGCATCATGCCCTTTGCACTAACTCCCCAGCCAGGGCCGGGAGGGGGCTTCTTGGGTGGGACAGGAACAATCTAGAATGTCACATGGGAAACAGCAGCTAGGGGGAGGACTTAGGTGGGGCTAGGGATCAAGAGCAGCCACAGGCGGTACAGGGAGACTATCAGAGCGCCCCACCCTGCTGAGATTTCCCAAGAGTGTCTCCCCGAGCCAGGGGATCCAGCCCCCCTCCCAGCCCTTCCCCACAGCCTGGAGCCTCAGAGCAGGAAGTCAGCATCCCAGGAATATCATCTGGCCTTCCTGCAGAAGGGGCTCTGGTTTGATCAAGACTCCTACCCACCCCCTAGAGCTAAACACCTCCCAACAGAGGGAAACAGGAATTGAAGCCTCAGCCCTGGGAGCATGGGTGGGGACGGGTGCAGTGGGGAGGGGCACGGGTCTCTTCCCTACCTAGAAACCTTAAGGCTTGAGAAAGGACCCCGGGGCCTGGCAGCTGCTGCCTCTAAGCGAGCAGAGGACAGAAGACAGTTTGGTGGGGGGTGGGGGGGACACCTCTCATTATCAGCTCGGCCTGAAGGTTTTCCTGACTTAGGAGCACAGCTGGAGAGTGAGCTGGCACGCAAGGCCTGCTTGGGGAAGCGCAGGAGGAAGGTTCCAGCACTGTGAGCACCATGCAGATCACCCTGTTTCCCTTTCTTTGCCCTGTCTGGAGAGTTTTAAAAACCCCAGCCTTTTGCAGTGGTCAGCAAAATCCCAGTGGAGAGGATGGCAGCGTCGCCAACTTTTAGCTCCAGTTTTCAATTCCAGACAGTAAAAGCAAACCTTAAGGAAGCTCACAGTGTTAGCCAATCATTGCAGGAAAATGGACTCTGAAAGCATGATGTGTCTTTTTAAAGCCAAGTAAATCAAAATACAGTAGAAAGAAAAGTCCCAAGCCCCCTCTTGAGCCTGTCCATTCAGGCCTGGATTCGGAGCTGGCCAAGCTGGGTAGCGATGGGGCAGGTGGCCTGGGAGAGGGTACCTGGGAGTGAGGCGGGGCCATGCCTGTTCATAGAACCTAGCACAGAGGAGGAAAAGGACGAGCCACTTCCCGGCCTCAGCTCTGCTGCTGTCCCACCTTACTAACCACATCTGGCAGGCGGACTTGGGGTGGGGGTGGGGGATCTGTCACCCTTCCAGGCTCTGCCTGCCCCAAGTAGCACTTTCTATGTGACACCTGGGGCCCTGCTTGGGGCCCCCAGAAACAGTAGAACTTAAGGAGAGTTTGCATGCACAAATGGGACAACAAAATTTACCTCTAAAGATTTTTTAAAATTAGGAAATGAAAAGTCAGAAGGAACTAAATCAGAACTGTAAGGTGGATGCCTAGTGATTTCTGATTGAAACTCTCGGGAAATTGCCCGTTTGATGAGAGGAACGGGCAGGAGCATTGTCACACGGTACGTGTAGCACGCGCCAACCAAGCCCGGCCAGGCATTTTTCATCTAACGGGCTAATTTTCTCAAAACACTCTCAGAAGCAGATGGTACCGATCTTTAGCCTTCCAGAAAGTCAACAAGTAAAATGCCTCAAGCATCAGTCAGTCGGGGGGGGTGGGGGGTTGGCGTGACTGTCATTGTGGGACAGGTAGGTTAAGTTGTCACTTGGGACACCCCTGCATCCCACGCACGAGTGCCTGGATCAAGTCCTGGCAATCCCACTTCGGATCCAGCTTCCTGCTAATGCACCTGAGAGTCAGCAGATCATGGCCCAAGTACTTGAGTTTCTGCCACGACTTGGGAGTTCCAGATGGACTTTCTGGCTTCCTGACTTTGGCCTGGCCCAGCCCCAGCTGTTGTAGGAATTTGGGGAGCAAATCAACAGATGGAAGATCTGTCTGTTCCTCTCAATCACTGTCTTTCAAGTAAATAAATCTTTAAAAAAAAAAAAAAAAAAAAAACCTATTGCCGTGACCTTTGCTTTTGACCAATGGTGGGTCCACTTTTGCTTGGACAGGACCACTTCTACCTCTTGGTAGCTATTGCTTGGATTGCTCTGTCTTTAGGGAAAGTCACATTTTGCCTACTATTGCAATTCCTGGAAGAAATACTTTAGGCCCTTGATCCCACTTATTTAAAATCTCCATTGAGGGGCCAGCACTGTGGCATAGTAGGCTAAACCTTTACCTGCAGCGCCGACATCACATATGGGCTATGCTTTATGTCCCAGCAGTTCTTCCTCAATCTAGCTCTCTGCTAATGGCCTGAGAAGGCAGTGGAAATGGCCCAAGTTTGGGCCCCTATACCCACATGAGAGACCTGAAAGAAGCTCCAGGCTCCTGGCTTCAAACTGGCCCAGCTCTGGCTGTTGTGGCCATCTGGGGAGTGCACCAGCGAAGGGAAGACCTCTCTCTGCCTCTCCCTCTCCCTCTGTAACTCTGCCTCTCAAATAAATAAATGGACCTTAAAAAAAAGATCCCCATTGAAAGCACTGCTCTTGTCTTCAGCTGATCTGGCCACAACAGTTTTGGCACCCATCAAGCACAGAATTTGCTCCACTTTTTCAATCAATTGTTTATAAACATAACCAACTAAGATGTCTATGGTGTTGGCTATTTATGCTGTGAACTGTGAGAACTCTTCACAGAATCAAGATTTTCCCCTTGGAAAATTTATGCGGATGGTCTACCACAGAAGGCTTTAACACTATCTTGCTCCTTCTTAAAATGAGTTATCCGTTTGTATACTGCTGATTCCTTCGGGATAACACCCCTATAAACCTTCTGTAATGCATCAATCATTTTGCCATTCTTCTACCCAAAACTGACCATAGATTGATTCGATTTTTTTTTTTCAATTTCAGCAGAATTCATGTTGCTATTATAAGGGCTCTTTTCAAATTGATGTCTGATGCTGCCTTCATAGTGCCTCAAACTAGATCCTGTTTAGACATGTTATCACAATTGGTATGAGTTTATTTTGGTGCAAAAAAATCTGAAATGCATGTACAGTTTCTTCCAACCATGTGTTTCCCATGAACGTTTTGAAGACTCCTTGCATGTTGACAAACCTAGCCTGTCTCATTCTGTCTCACGCTGCCACCTCTCGACCTCAGGTCCACACAGTGGACACCTCATGAATTTGGTACAGGCCCAGGCCATCTCTCTTCACAAACTCAACACCTCCAGGATCGAGCCTGATGCTCCTTTCCCCCAGTCCTTTTGCCTCCCCTTGTTCCTGTGCTCCCATCTCAGGGGCAGGGGCAATGCCACCAGCTAAACTCAGCTACCTTCACCCTCGGCCCACATCTTTAGAGCCCTGAGCCCACTGTCCTGAATGCTCTGGGAGTTATGTTCTTTTTTATAGAAAAAAAAAGGCCATGAGGCAGGCATCTGATCTGCCCACGTCCCATGCTGGAAGGCCTGAGTTCACTCCTCGTACCGGCTCCCACTTCCAGCCTCCGGCCAATGCAGACCCTGCGAGAAAACAGCTGATGACTTCAAGTAGCTGAGTCCCTGCCACCCCCGTGGGAGACCCAGATTCAGTTCTCAGCTCCCAGGCCCGGTCATTGTAGGCATCGGAGTCAATCAGCAGATGGCAGTTTTCTCTCCCTCTCCTCCCCCCCACCCCTTGTCCCAATCTCTCTTTCAAAAAAATTTTTTTCTTAATTCCACGATTTTCTACCCTAGTGGCCACCACCTAAGCCCTGGACATCATCGCTTCCCCCTGGGTCGACCTACACATTCTCCTGGCCACTTCCAGCCCCACATTGGTTTCCACTGTTTCCAGGGGGGAACCTGGCCAAGGCTCCTCCTCCATCACACACACATATACAGGTGATGGTAATCCCAGCTCCTTTCATCAGGGCCTGGAAACCTCGGGAACTCAGTCCCGACCCCCACCCCCCAACCCCCACACCATTGCCTCTCTCTGGCTTGATAAGAGCATTTGTTCAAAAAAAAAAAAAAAAAAAAAAAAAAAAAAAAAAACAGCAGAAATCCTTTTGTGAATCTTAAGAGACTCATAGACCGGGATAAGATTGCGGCAGCCACTTGGGGTCAAGAAATGAAGATGAAACCATTGAACGCGATCAAGACCCAGCAGGCCCAGAGAGGGATCCGTTGTGCCTGGCTCGCCGCATTTCAGCCGCCTTGCACAATTTCCGACCCTACCGCCCTGCCTGGCGTCGGCTCCCCACCACCAGGCTCTCTGAGTCCTTCCTGCCATTTTGTTTGAAAGCCTCAATCCCGCTGCACCTCACGGGAACCCTCTGTGTCTCAACTGAGCTCGGGACTGTCCCAGTTAGCAAAGCTACGGAAGCAAACTGGCTCTTGAGCTCGTCGGTGCTTTTGGGGGCGTCACTGGTGCAAGCTGCCTGGTCACCTCCTGTCCCAGGCTCTGCTCCAGGATTTCACGTCCTGGTGGCCCTCAGGCTCCACGACCCTCCCGCTCGCTCCCCTCGGCAGCCCCTTCCACACGGATCCTCCGGGCAGCCCTCCCAGCGCCGGCCTCCACCAGCAGGGGCGAGGGGCACCTCGGGGAGGTCGTGGAAGGGTGCTGAGGGGACGAGGCGCGTTCGCAGGCGGTTGGCGACCGTTGGGAGTGGACAGGGCACGGCTGGGGGTCGCCGACGTCACCGCGCGCGCACCGGGCGGCTCTCCCGGGACCGCTGGGACCGGGAGACTCCGGACCTGAAGGCGACCCGGAGGACTCCAGTCGCCAGCGCTCTTGCCGGTTCCGACGAGGGGTGACGGAGGTCTGCGCCGATGAGCGAGGGCCAGGGCGAGGGCGCCCGGGCGCAGCCCCCAGCCTCGGCGCCTCTGCAGGCGGCCGGAGCCGAGCCGGTGCGGTGCCTGGACGCGGCCGGCCAGCAGGGGGCGCGACTCGTCCCCCGGGGCCCCGCGGCGACCGAGGCCAGCCTGGAGGAGTGGACGCCGTTCCCGGCCTCGCTGTGGCTGTTTCCCGACCTGCTGGAGCACAGGATGCAGTTTTAGAAGCTGGGGAGCATCGGGGCCCAGCACGCCCCCGACTTCTGGCCGCTCTGCCTCCCTCAGCGCTCAGGTCGGGCGCTCCCGGTGGCTTTGGTCCTCGCCCGGCCTTCTCCCTGAAGTCCCCAGTCCCACCCGCTATCAGGAGCTCCCCTTCTGTTTTAGGATTCGTTGCTTTTCGTCTTTTCTTTCTGCCTTGGGGCAAGGTGCTGGCCCTGTCTTTCCCTATCCACGCTCCTAGGTAAACCCTCGCACCTGGATGCTGGGCGTGGGCGTGTGATTTGGTAGGCCCAGTGGGACAGCCGCAAAAAGGGGGCGGGAGACGGCTTCATGTTGCCCCTGAAACCCGGACTCCACACGAGCAAACCCTGCCTATCCCGATAAACGATGTGGTCCAGCACCCACAGAGACCCAGCTGAGAGACCATCCGGGGTCACCCAGAGCCCAACACACCTGCTGCCTGACCCCAGACTTGTAAACCCAGCCGAGATGAGCGGCACCTGGCAGAATCCCGAGCTTCCACCGTGCCGTGGGTGTGAAGTCGATGGCTGCATAGCAGGAGGTAGGGTCCACACTCAAACCTTTGTATCAGAGCCCTACTCCTTCCGGGCCTCTGTCTGTCCTGATCCTGAACACCCAGACTTGGAGGAGGCGCAGTGGGGTTTCTAAAGAAGCCTTTCCCAACACTTTCACAAGGTCCCCTGAGGCAGAATTGCCTGGGGGATCTGTAGGAAATGCTGGACCCCAGGAGTCTCAGCACTCGCTACAAGTGTGATAGGAGAATCTTCCACTTGGCGCCTCCCCCTGTCCTGGAGGATGTCTTAACAGTTTGCCTTCCTCATCCACAGCTGTTGCAGTGCCCTAACCTGCCCCAGGCCCTTGGCACCAAATGACGCTTGGCGGAACCATCAAGGTGAGGTACTAGGAACGGCCCTCTCACGTTTGACTCTGCACTCGGGGACTAAAGAGAAGGAAATCCATTGCACGGTGACTCTCTCTGCAGTGACCCTGGAATGACTTTCCTGAGGACGGGGAGGGAAACCAGGATTCGGGTTCTTAGGGGAATAGAATCAACCTCTCACCCCCGTATTCTCCCGTTTGCTGTCTGCCTTAGTGAGCTCCTGGGGGAGAAGGTAGCCTAGGGCTCCCTGCCTCTGCCTCACGCAGCGAGGGGCTGCCCAGCCAAGGCCTCCCCCCACGGGCTGTGTGCTTACAGCTGGAGTATGAGGGCGGGCCGACCTCCAGGACCTGACACAGGCGGGTGACGTGAGTTGCAGAGACTGAGATGTCCCGACCCTCAAGGCACAGCTCCTGAGGAGCATTTGTCCAGGTTAGGTTTGGCTCACAACTCAGCGTGTCCCCTTTTACTAAGAACTTTTCTGCCAGAGGCTTTGATGGACGCGTTGGGCTCTGCCGCCCCTGAGGTAGGATATGGCAGCTCCTTAAATGCACACAGTAAAATACACAGGTTTACGGGGTCAGTGCTGTGGTGCAGCAGGTTAAGGCCTCCACCTGTGATGCCAGCATCCCACATGAGCACTGGTTCGAGTCCCGGCTCTTCCACCTCTGACCCAGCTCCCTGCTCAAGTGCCCGGGGAAGTAGACTACATGAGAGACCTAGGAGTAGTTCTGGGTTCATGGAACCAGCAGATGAAAGATCTCTCTCTCTCTCTCTCTCTCTCTCTTTCTCTCATTATCTGCCCTTCAAATAGATAAATGCTAAAATAAAATATCCAAGTTACATATGAATGCATAACAGTAAGCAAAAAAAAACAGAATTATGAGGGACTCGTTGGGATGATGGGTACAGGGTGTGGCTAACTAGGGACCACCGTTACATTGTCCTGGGTAGTCTAAGGCTACATGTGTTCCTAAATGGAAGAAGTCTTTGCTGTCTGTTGCTTCAAACAACTACTACCTCCTTTTTCCTTCTAATATTAAGTATCCCCCAAGGCTACTTGAGTGTGCTAAATTCTTCCATGGCTTTTTTTTTTTTTCCAAGCAATAACCTGAAGCTTAAAGTTTCATGACATTCGAAGGCCAAGAGGAAACTGACTCTCTGCTCAGTAATGTTTATGGGGCCAGCATCCACAGACAGGAACTTGCTTAAGTTTCACTAGACAATCCCAAGTTCAAAGAGGGGAATCTGGGAGCATGGAATGTGAACTCTGAGAACGCTATTGCCGTTTTCTGGGAAGCAAGAGGAGAAAGAAAGGAAGCAAGCCCTGTGTGCCTGATGCGTGTCACAGTCTGTCCTCTGTCTGCACACCTCAACACACAGGCTAAACCATCCTGGACGTGTGGGGATACGGACAGGAAAGGAATCTCCTTCCTTGTTCGAGATCACTGCCACTGAGGGCCAGTGGGGCTACTGGTGATTTTAATCCAGTATTGCCTGAGACTACCTCTGGTTCTTCAAGATGGAAGACCACCACATTCTGTCCAGGTGTTAGCCTCAGGGGTGCACTGACAGAAGGACAAAGGCTACAAGTAACTTTCTCCTTCTCAGGGTCATTTCCCCTCTAAAAATGAATAGTTTTTTTTCTGCTGTATCACCCAGCAATCATGTATTTCCCAGAGTTTTAAAAATGTATTTGAAAGAGCAACAGAGAGAGGGAAGGAGAGAGAATAGGGGAGAAAGAGAGATCATCCATCTGCTGATGATCTCTTCAGGCCACAGCCATGAACCAGGAGCCAGGAGCCAAGAATTCCAGCTGGGTCTCCCGCTTAGGTGGCAGGTGCCCAAGGACTTGGGCCACCTTCTGCCTTCCCAGGCACACTAGCAAGGAGCTTTCCCAGAGTTTTTGGTGGTTACCCACGGCTGACGTGTCTAAAAGGAGTTTCCTGACTTAGAAAATCACTTCCAATCTGTAAGCAAGTTTTAGAAACTATGAGCTGATGGTTTCACAACCTACTCCTGAATTAGAGGCTGTGTGCACAGCAGGACTTCCCTGCTGGTGATCAATCCAGGAAGTTGTACGTCAATTCTACCAACACTGCCATTGCTCTAAAGTGTTCGCTGCTATTTGATTCAAGGATGCTCACGATAGCTATGCTTACAATAGCTGAAATTTTATAAAATATGAAAAACAGGAGGGGCCAGCATTGTGGCATAGCAGGTTTAAATACCACCTGCAATGCTGGCGTCCCATATGAGCGCTGGTTAGAGTCCCAGCTGCTGCACTTCCAATCCAGCTCCCTGCTAATGTGCCTAGGAAGGCAGTGGAAGATGACCCAAATGTTTGAACCCCTGTGGCACACGTAGGAGACCTGGATGGGTTCCAGGCTCCTGGCTTTGGCCTGGCCCAGCCCCAGATGTTGGCGGCCATTTGGGAAGTAAATCAGGGGATGGAGGATCAATCTCTCTGTCTCTCCCTCTCGGTAACTCTTTCAAATAAAAAGTAACTAAAAATAGGAAAACAAACTCTTTTACAGTCACTAATAGCTTATTATGTAATTAATATATCCCACAGTTATAAAAGCTATAATACCATAGAAATGCTTATTGTAAATTCATAGGGGAAAAGACAGTTGGCTATTTATTTTGTATATAGTTATTTACTCTTGTGTAATTACTTTGCCTGCTAAGTTTATTGCAATAATATAAAGTACTGGGCATCTGTATCTTGCTTCTGACGTTAGTTAAAATGCTGGTATGAATTTCTCATTGTATCTGTTATCTCTTACTCAGTAACAAAGTCTCCTAAAGCTAAGTTGATGAAAACAACAACAGTCATTTATTTTGCTTCCAAACATGCAGAGTTTGACAGGAATGACTTGTACCTGCTCCAGTGACGTCAGCTGAGAGGACTCAAGCTGAGACTGGACAATCCACTTGCAGTACAGATCACTCCCACAGCTGCCAAGTTAGTGCTGCCTGCTGGCTGAGAGTTCAGCTAGGCCGTGCAGACCTCGTCCTCCAGGGGCGCCTGGAGGCTTCCACACTGGATGACTGCTGAGTACCAACAGCAGCATCCCAAGTGGTCCGGAGAGAAGGGGGTGACATCTCTGCGCTCCATCCTTGTAAATCACAGCATCACTCGCTGGGGGAGTCACAGAGTTCACCTGCGTTAAAGGGAAGGAAACAGAGGTTACACCCATGGAGTCGTGACAGTGTCATGTGCAAAATGAGCATGTGGTATAAGAGGCATTCTTATTTTCTGAAGTTTGTCATTAACAAAGGAATGCCCTAACTTCCACATAGCCCCTATGCTCATTGTATATATTTTATTGGATGTTTTTATTTTGCCTATTTTACCCAGAAGTTTGACAGTTACTGATTTATGGCATGCTGGCCACCAACTAATACATCTCCAAAGAGTATAACTTACCTTTGTCTGTTGCTGGGCTCTTTACAAATGGAATCACATATTAGAAATAATCTTTTACACTTCTTTTACCCAAAGTTAGGTTTGTAAGATTCATGCAAGTCACTGTCTATTACTGTGCACTGTTAATTTTCATTGTTGGCTGGCCCTCTGTGGTATAAATACAAGACAGTAATTCAATCATAGATGGACCCTGAGCCATTTCCAGTTTGTTAATTAACATGACTGTCCACACCCCCTAGAGCAGGCATGCATGGGTCTCTTTGGTGTTTACCACCAAGAGGGATAACATAGATGTTTACGTTACTAAATAATGCCAAATATATCCACTTTAACTCCCACCAGTCAGTGTCAGAGTTCCTTTTCCAAATCCTTGGTACTATAATCTGATTTTACAAGATTTTTTCTTGCAGTGGGAAACCAGCCCGTTTACCCTCTTAACGTCACCTCAATGCATGCTGCCCTCCCAGAGTGCAAGCACAACCTCCTTCAGAGTCAGTCCCCGTCTGGGGTGAGCCTTCGGGAGTGCTCGGCTCAACATACAGCAGACACAGGAAGTTCCTGCCTTAGCAAAATTCTGGATCCTTCCACGTCTGCTTGCAGGGTGGCTAGATTTAGCTAGAGTTCTTGTCTCTCGCAGAAGTTCCCAAAGCAGCCAAGAGAGATTCAACACGTCATTCTGCATCTTTTCTACTGTTTCTCGAACGTCACAGATTTACAGATTTAGTCAACTTACGGACAACCCTCCGAAGTAATTCAGGCCCCAAAACCTGACATTTTCCCACAGTGTAACAAGAGACATGGCTTTTGACCCATGCTCAGTCTAAAGCCAAGGCTTCCGTACTTTGGAAGGGGGGAAGGTAGACACTGGCACACTGCTAGCACTCTTGGCCACAGCTTCCTTGCCGCCTCACGTTCCTTTTTCCCTATTCACTTTGTTTTTGGGAAACTTCCTCTTGTCCTAATTCTGGACCACAGAGCCGGGCTTCCCCTTGGCCTGTCTCCTCCAATTCTGCTGTCTGTCACTATTCATTCGGAACGGTGGTTCTGTCCGGCTCAGCCTTGGCCGCTTTTGATCACACTTTTGTTTTTGATGTTTCCATGATTCTTCAGTAGCGTAACTAAGGATGTTTTTCTAAAGATTTTACTTACTTAGGGAGAGACAGAGAGAAAGGGCTTCCATCCGCTGGTTCACTCCCCAAATGGCCGAAATGGCCAGAGCTGGGCCAATCCAAAGAAGCCAGGAGCTTCTTCTGGGTCTCCCAGGCCATCCACAGAGAGCTGGGTCTGAAGAGAGGAGCCGGGACACGAGCCAGCGCCCATATGGGATGCGGGCACCGCAGGTGGAGGCTTAGCCTACTGTGCCACAGCACCGGCCCCAGGATGGGTTTTTAAAAACTGATCTTCATGGCACCACGGCTCACTAGGCTAATCCTCCACCTTGTGGCGCCGGCACACCGGGTTCTAGTCCCGGTCGGGGTGCTGGATTCTGTCCCGGTTGCCCCTCTTCCAGGCCAGCTCTCTGCTGTGGCCCGGGAGTGCAGTGGAGGATGGCCCAGGTCCTTGGCCCTGCACCCCGTGGGAGACCAGGAGAAGCACCTGGCTCCTGGCTTCTGCCATCGGATCAGCGCGGTGCGCCAGCCGCAGCGCGCCGGCTGCAGCGGCCATTGGAGGGTGAACCAACGGCAAAGGAAGACCTTTCTGTGTCTCTCACTGTCCACTCTGCCTGTCAAAAAAAAAAAAAAAACTGATCTTCATGTAATTTGTGAATTCATGAGAATTCACAAAGTTATCTCTTTGATAACTGCTGTCTCGTTTGGGTTCTCCCGTGGTGGCTGGGGGTAAGACGGTGCGGAAGCATGACACAGACACTGGGGAGTTTGCAGAAGCAAGCTAGTGGCGAGCAGCTCGCAAACTCATTTTAGTTAGTGCAGCAGCTTATATAGGGGTTCTAGCCAATCAGCTCAGAGGGCGTTTCTTTAGTCGGCCTATAGGTGCTGGTTGCTGGGCAGAGTACTTCTGTGGCTGCTCCCTGCTGCCATTTCCTGGTCACTCGGCGCTGCCGGTGCCATCTTCTATGATGGCTTCTTTTCCCCACAGATAATACTGTTTGCACATTCTCTCTCCTCTCCCTCTGGAATGCAATTATATTAGTAGAACCTCTTAAGTTTACCTTCTCTGTATCTTTTTTTTTTTTACCTTTTAAAAAATTTAAGTTATACAAGTTTCATGCATTTCATAAATACAGATTTAGGAACATAGTGACACTTCCTCCCCAACACTCCCTCCCGCCCATGTTCCAACCCCTCCTCCTCCTCCCTCTCACATTCCCGCTCTTAATTTTTACAAAGACCTGTTTTCAGTTATATTTTCTTTTGTATATTCTATGCACCATCCCTGTTCTTATAATTTCTTCATATATTTTTCTAGTTCCCCAAACCCATTTCCAACAGTGTCTTTTTTTTCCAAGTGTCTTAATCTGCTCATTTTTAAATTGTGATGATCACATTTTCATGTCTAAATTGCCAAGAGTATTAATAGACATGGTTTTATAGAAACTATTTAACAGAATTATATGAAATGCTGCACAGCAGTATCAAGCCAACCTCGGTAAGGGATCTTGAAGCAAATGTCAACCCAGCCCCATCATTCCTGCAGGCCTGAAAGCACGCGCAGTCTTGTGTGTGGCCATGATGGCCTGGAGGACTGCTCTCACCAGCGGAAGGCTGTGGCTTTCTTCTGCCAGGTACAATGGGCAGACAACTTCCTGCGTCAGCATTGGGCACTGGGAGGAAATGCAGGGGTCAGGAGCTGAGGAGGGGCAGAGCGCTTTCCCCTAGGGATGTGCTGATGGACACCTCTGGCAGTTCTGGGTGCGCTTGGCACCGCAAGTTTGGGCTGAGCCAGCCACCCAGAGAAGGGGGAGAGTGCTCCTTCACCATGTCTTTCAGCAAGGGCTCACAGCTGGGTAGATGTCTACCTGATTATAGTCTTCTTCCTTGTTCCCAACTCACTTCCAGAAATATCTAAAGGAGGGAAGAGATAAATGCATAGGTGGATTTCCCATGGGCTGCAATGGAGGGTTGCACTTCCCTGGAAGCACCCCATGGCCTCCGATGAATCTCGGCTCCCCAGGAGGGCGGAACCTCTTGATGAGGCTTCATTTGGTGAGACTGGACTACAGCTGCACTCTGGGGGAGTTTGTTTGCTTTTAGATTCTCTACAGTTGGCTCCCTTTTCTATACCAATTCTTGCTTTAGACAAGAGGTTTCTTCCTGTTCCATCATTTTCACTTGTTTCCATGGAAAATATTACCTGCCTCTCCAATCACAATGTAACTGCCACAAGGTCACAAGTTCTGCCTTAAGTCACTGCTCTGTCCTCACTGCTTAAAATAATGTTTGGTCCTGAGTTAAGTGCTTGATAAGAAATATCTGTGGAATTCTGAATGCATAGGATGTCTTGTACGTAGGTTTGATTTGCCATGGATGGAACTTAGCGACCTCAGCCCTCCTGCCTTGCAGAAGAGATATGGATTCTTCAGACCAGATCAGAAACTCCCTGGAGATAGTGACATTTACCACTGGATGTTTGTGCTGTTCACAACATGGGTCTTGCTTAAAAGGGCACATTACCTGTGAATGAGCTCACCAAAGGATGTATCAAATTCCTACATGATTAAAAACATTACTGAAGGACATAAACATGAGAAGGGAACAGACACAGAGGTTGCTCACAGGTTGAGAATGGTATTGCTCTCCATGATATGGTCAATGGAATCCCAAAAGGCTTGCTAATGGGACTGAACTAAGCCATCAGGAGTCGGTTTAAAAACAAAAACAATGCAGGATTGGTAACAGCCAAGATTCACCTGGAAAGCAGGGAAGTTTGCCTACCTAAAACCAAACAGATTTTATAGTTTTAGTAAGTAGGTGTGTCACTGGGCCAGGGACAGACTGAGAGCCGGGAACACAGGAAGCTCGGTGTCAAACTCGAGATAGACTCTGGATTATTGAGGCAGCAGTTCTGAACAGTGAGGAAAAGTGCTAAGGATCGTGGTTTTGTATGGTTTCAGGATTGTGAAACCATAGGACATTATCTGGTTGGGGCCAGCACTGTGGTGCAGCGGGTTAACGCCCTGGCCTGAAGTGCCAGCATCCCATGTGGGTGCCGGTTCTGGTCCCGGCTGCTCCTCTTCCAATCGGCTCTCTGCTATGGCCTGGGATGGTGGTGGAGGATGGCCCAAGTCCTTGGGCCCGTGCACCTCCGTGTGGGGAGGCTCCTGGCTTCGGATCAGCGCAGCTCCCGCTGTTGCGGTCATCTGGGGAGTGAACCAGCAGATAGAGGACCTGTCTGTCTCTACCTCTCTCTGTAACTCTTTCAAGATTTATTTTATCTAAAAAAAAAAAAAAAAAAGTTTAAACCCGACAGGGAGGTAAACTTTGCACCAGAATCAAAAATGTTCAAAAAGTGGCCATGTTGGTAATGCCCCAAAATTGTAACCCACATTACCACTACAGTATGCTGATATCACAATATAGAAGGCAACATGTGCAGGCAACACTGAAGGAAAGACACGAGTCACACAGGACATGCTGATTGCATTAACAGGAAGCTCAAAAACAAGCAGGGAAACTAAAACTCATGACTGGAAGGCGCCTACTTAGGCAGTAAAACATTGGCGTCAACCAAGGGGCTGAAGCAGCAGCGGCCGCCGGCAGGCTCCCTGCTCCTGGCACTTACTCCTTTCATAACCTGTGTCACGGCTACAAAGGCTTTAACTTGATTGTTTTCAAGAATGTGGATATGTTTACAATTTCTGAATTAAATACTAACAAAACACAATGAAGGTGATAGTGTTTTGTCATATGCCTGGAGCCAGGCTAATTGCTCTGTACAATGGTCTATTGAATCACAACAGCCTCATGGTCACCCCCTTGATGGTGGGGCCAATTTGTCTGGAGACAAGTCTCTTGCCCAGAGCCACACCCTAGGAATTGGCCAAACAGGGCTTTATCCCACACCTCCAGTTCTACTTCCAATTCCTATCTATTTCACTACATTAACACGGTGTGAAGGATGATGCAATGGCCCAGCCCAGTCTGCCTCTGGGAAGGGGACACTGCATCCTTACACCATGACGTGAGCCTGCAGCTTTACCACCCTGGTTCCCCAGGCAGCCTGCTCACGCGCCCCCGAACGATACTGAAGAGCCTGCTCCTGGGATCCTGTTGGCAGTCTCAGGCTGCCAGGATGTACCACCAACTATTTAAATGCTCATTAAGTCAGACAAAATCTTCAGTCTCTCAAAATTAGTATCTACCAAATATTAGGTTCTGTGGTAGTCCAATCTCAATGGGACTTTGACTTGGGATTTCTCAGAAGACTGTGTTTATCGCCTGGAATCCTATGAAGAGCCCCCTAAGCCACTCCGGAGAGAAGTGGAAACTGGTTCCTTGTGGGACTCCCAAAGTTCCTACATTTATAGAAGGAAACCACACCCACCCCACCCCAAGTTGAAAGCTATGAAGGCATTTAGTAATACAGCAAGCTGTTTCCAACAGGCTGAACAAGGGAGTTATTTTCAGGAAATGCTCCTTTGTGAAACAAGAGGCCTGGGAAAAGGTTCACTTGGGCTGGGTCAACTGCAACATCAGGAGTGAGGAGCAGGGAGTTTCTGCCCCAGTCTAGAAACATGTTCGCGCCAGGAGAGGCTCCCAGCACTCCTGGAGAAGACTCAGGCCTAGGCCCAACCAAGACGTTGCCATTGGAGAACGCCTGGTGCCTAGAGCAGATGGACACCTTCATGCAAGGCACTGATGAGCGGTCCATCAGGTGGACACCACCAGGCCAAAGAACATGGGGTTGAACAGGCTCACAGCTTGAGGGACCTGGCCCTGCAGCTGTGGGGCAGCCACTGGGACCAGAGGTAACCTGACCTGACTGGCTTGCTCTGGGTTGGGCCACAATCTGTTGGACAGTGACAGAGAACACTATATGGACTGTGAAGTTGAGGCCCAGAGCAAGTCAAACCCAAGTGGGAAATGGCAAAGTCCCTAATCTAGGTTATCCTGGTTCCCAGTCTGCCAGGGGAGAATACCTGCCTGTAACCTTGGATTCTAGGGAAGGGGAGGTTTGGGAATCTGGGGAACAGCAGTGCCTGGAAGGTACCAGAAGGGAAGGTGGGTTTGTATGAGACCTGGCTGACAGGCAGGTTCCAGACAGAATGACACCCACTAACAAATTCTCCCCAAGTGCCAGCAAGTGTGAGCTTCCCCACCACCTGACCAGCTCCCCACCCCCCTCCGATGCTGCCAGCTTTCCAGCCCTCACCCACCACTTACTCCAGCAATCTCTGCTGCCAATCACCCAACGTACTCCCACACCAACGCAAATGGGACTACCACCCACGTACGTGCAACCGCTCACATAAGAGGCACCGCACATCCAGACATAAAAACACCGCCAGGCGTTTTGATGAGGAATTAAAGAGATTCAGTCTGTAGAAACTGATGTTTATTTTCCGTCAACCTCATTTCCATGTTTGTGTGAGAGCCCGTGACAAGCAGCCTAAGACCACTCAGTGGTTGTTCCCACCCACTCGGTGGCCTGGGCAGTGGGCGCTGCAGACCAGTCTTCAGTGGCAGGCTGAGCACTCCAGTCCTCTGTTAAGAAAAATAGCGAAATTTTAAGCCATCAGCTCTGTCCCCAAAATAGCATTCCCCTCCCCCCACCTCTAACAGCAATCTATCAGGTACAGACTTCCAAGGACAGAGACCAAGTTTCCCAAAGCACCTGAATTCAACTTACCAAGGGATTTGCAGCTACACTAATTAGGATTCAAACCTCAATGCTAGTTAGAACAAGATCCTGAGATCAGTCTGGTCCATCTGCACCTTGATACGTACCAGTGGGGAACTGCTGAATAGGCACAGAGGGCACCTGCACGCCTTCGGACCAGTCAGCAACCTCGGGCTGAGTAGCAGTGAACTCGGGCGCTGGGGCCGTCCATTCACCCTGAAACTCCTCCTTGGTCACAGCTTTTTCAGCGGCGGCCTGCTCTTCTTTTTCAATCTCTTCAGGATCTCTGTAGAAGTAGAGATCAGGCATGACCTCCCAGGGGTGTTCACGGGAGATGGTACCACGCATGCGCAGAACCTCCCGGGCCAGCATCCACCACATCAGACCCACTGAATGGGCTCCCTGCAAGAACATCAAATTAACAAATGACACCTCGCCACAGCTAACATGTCCCTCCCCTGTATCATCTAGGTACCCTTCCATAGAGGTGTTACCTCTTCTGAGCTACTGTAACAAGAAACATTGTTCTATAAACCTTACCTGGGCATGGCAATCATGACAATTAAAAAAAACACCTGCCAGGACTCTACCCCAATCAAACATCCCTGGGCATTGGCATTAAAACAAACAAACCCCTTTAGACCAACTGTGACTCATATACAACCCACCTTTTTAGAATTTTATTGCAGGCCTCTGTTGGTCAGAAAACTGAGAAGCCACTGCCAGAGGTCTAAGTAGAGCAAGAAATAGGAAGAAAGGCGGAACACGCAGAATGTCCTCTAAGTGCTTTCATTTCTAACAGCTGGGAGGCATGTAGCAAGTGTCACTATCCAACTCCACTCATTGGGCCGGGACCCTTGTGGTGTCAGCGAGAAACTTGCCTCTCATGTAGCACACTACCTACACTTGCGAGTTCATGGGCCAATCAGTGGCCTCCAACTCCAAGCTCTAACAATGTGCACGGGAACATTCAGTTGCTTCTACGAGCACTTCTATTTGCAAATTCTCCTCTAGATCACTATTGCTACCTTGTTGTTGCACGGGATGGCGATGTCCACGTAGCGCAGAGGCGAGTCTGTGTTGCACAGAGCAATGGTAGGCAGGTTCACGTAAGATGCCTCCGTGAGAGGCTGGTGGTCAGCCCGAGGGTCGGTAACCACCAGAAGCCGTGGCTCCCGGAAGGCTGCCTGGATCTGGTTAGTGAAGGTTCCAGGTGTGAAGCGGCCAGCAATGGGAGTAGCTCCAGTGGCAGCAGCAAACTTCAGCACAGCTCTCTGTAAAGAACAAAACGAAGTCAGTATTCTCAGGGCCGGCACTGTGGCACAGTGCCTGCAGCGACACCATCCCAAAGGGGTGCCAGGTCATGTCCCGACTGCTCCTTTTCCAATCTCGCCCTCTGCTTTGGCCCGGGAAAGCACAGGGACCGCTGCACCCACATGGGAGACCCTGAAGCATCTCCCGGCTCCTATCAGCCCAGCCCAGCTCCAGCCATTGCAGCCACTAGGGGAACGAACCAGGAGACGAAGACCCTTCTCTTTCCCTCTGCCCGTAACTCTACCTCCAAATAAGTACATTCTCCACGAGCTGACCCCAGTTCTCTAATCACAGAAAGCAGCCTCGGCAGAGGGAACCCTCAAACTCAAACACCCCTTCCTCAACAATGAAAGCGTCAAATTCACCAGCATTCACCCAGAATGGTGTCCTGAGTACTCAGACCCTGGGAACACCCCCACCTCCTGGCCCCAAGTGGGTGGGTTACTTTGACTTGGACACCTTAACTCACCTGTGTTTGTGTTCAAGTTGTCTCCCCACCCCCCCACCCCTTTCCTCTTCCAGAAAGTTTCCCTTCCAAAACCAAGGCTCCCCTGGCTGCGTATCCCAAGCACCTGACCACACCTCCAAGCCCACCTGGATACAATTTTACAATTACATCTTTTTACTATACAGATTACAGGAACCCAGTCATCCTCAGCCCCTGGGGAGTAAGTTCCCAGGAAACTTCATCTCAAAGGGTTTATGAAATCCTTACAAGAACCTTATAAATCAATTTCAGTTGTCAGTTTTCTCAACAGAAAACAGGAACTGTGGAAAAAAGACAAGTTTTACTCGGTTACTTTAAAAAGAACTGAGCTGAGGTGGTTATTAGCACTCTTCACACCTGCCTGAAATACGCTGTGGCTGACATCTACTTTTTGTCCCAGCATTCCATCATTTTAATGAGAAATTATGATTCCTGGGAAGACATATGAAAGGTTGTTTCGAGATATTTAGTGTTTCATTAGAAATTTTGTTAGCACAAATGCCAAATGTGTGTTAAAGTTCCAATATTGACCACTCAGGGCTCAGTCCAACTTAAGTTTTCTGAACAGTGAAATTATTTTCTTATACTTTTCTATGTATTTCCAAAACATCTACAAACTTTGTTTCTGTAACAGCCAAGGGCTCTCCCACACACCTGGCCAGTGTTCCTGGAGGATATCACACTGACATCAGCAGGGTTTTCAATGGCCACAATAGCACGAGCCGCCAACAGCAGCTTCTCCCAGGTCCTCTTCAGATTGATGATGTAGATGCCTAGGGGAGGGACAGAAGACTTTTAACTCCAACCTAGCTGCACAAATGGACAGAATTCTCAACACCTGAGTATGTGGCAGTGACTACTATCAACTCCAGTCATGGAGACAAGCTCTACTGGTGTTAGCGAAAATCCTGCCATTGCTGTAGCACACCTCCGACACTCAGAAGGTCACTGGCCAGAACTGGCCTCCACTCTGAGCTTTAACAGTGTGCGGGCCTCCCGGGAGAGCAGCGGAAGACGGCCCAAGTGCTTGGGCCCCTGCCACCCACGAAGCAGACCCAGAAGCTCCTGGCTTCGGATCCATCCAGCTCCAACCACTGTGGCCATCTGGGGAGTGAGCCTTCGCCTCTCCCTGTAATCCTTTCAAATAAAGTAAAATTGTGCTAATCCTTCCTAAGATCCCCTGCTAATCTAGTCTGATCAGATTCATCCTAAAACTCTTCCTGGGGGGCCGGCTCTAGGGCATAGCAGGTCAGGCCTCTGCCTGAAGTGCCAGCATCCCATGAATACCAGCTGGTGTCCCGGCTGCTCCACTTCTGACCCCACTCCCAGCTAATGGCCTGGGAAAGCAGCGGATGGCCCCTGCCACCCACAAAGGAGACCTGGAAGAAGCTCCTGGCTTCCATCAGCCCAGCTCTGGCCCTTGCAATGGGTGGAACATCTGTCCCTGTCTTTCCAGTTATCAGAACCCATTCTTCTCACCTCCTTCATGACCCAAGCCAGCCCCGTAACCCAGCAACTGCCACGCTCTTCATTACAGCCCAGAGATCTGCCCTCCCGCCAACCAGAGCGCCTCGTCTTCAAAAGCAGGCTCCCAGCCTAGGGATCCAGGCTCAGTACTACTGAGCGGACAGCCCTCGGAGGCAGAGCCAGTACCAAGAATTACTTCAGCCAGTACTACCCATCGGAGAGCAGGATCAGAGCTCCGACCTACATCTGGAACTACACACTACTAACCATCACTCTTCCTTTTGTAGATGTACTGTTCCATCTGGAAGTCAAGGTTGGTGCCACCTAGGTGGGTTCCTGCTGCAAGGAACTTGAGGACGTCCTCCTCCTTCATTTGCAGGACATCAAGGGCTCCGGACATTGTGACAGCTTCCCCTTAAGTTACGCCGGGAATCTGTGGGGGGAAAAGTAAGTAACAGCCTAGTTCTTTTCAATCCAGGTTTAGTGCGGTCGTGTCCATCTACCTCCTCAACTTCCTGTTTAAGAGCAGCCTACCTAAACAGCGGACACACCGCACAGCAGCTATGTGCCCAGCAGTACAGAAACGCAGTGCACCTTGCTAAAGCGGTGGCAATGGCACAACAGCCACAGAACGCAACGTCGCGGCGAGTGAACTGAAATCCAACAGTGAAGGCACGCAGGAGTTACTTAAAGGGCAGTAACCCCAGGCGAAACGCAGCCATGTTTGCGGGCAGGATTCAAGCAGACGACCGGCGGGCACTTGGGAATAACCGTGTCACACACTCACAGCCAGCTCTTCTCTAAACCCCACAAAAGCCCAAACTCCTAACCTGCAGGGGCCAAGGGGCAAGCCGACTAGCTCGAGTCGCTGATGTAATCCGCGCCCGGGCCTCAGCCGGCTTTCGGCAGCCCACCGACCCGTGGGCGGATCCAGCCCCTCAGCCCCGAGCCTGGGCTGCAGCGCTCCCGGGGCAGTCGGCATCCGGCCACGTGCAGGCCGGGCCGCCCGCCGGAGCCGGAGCGCGCCAAGTGGGAGACCGATCCAGCCAGACTGACTCTCAGCTCCATTTCCCTGCCGCCTATCACAGCGGAAAGTTTGCTCTGGTGGCCTTGGGACGCGCCAGGAAACCCAAAAAGGAGCTCACCAAAAACAACGCCGTATGGACCCCTGGCCGGGTAGCGCGGAAAGGACAGGAAGCCGGAAATGACGTTATTATATACTCCGTCGACAGCCAATGGCAAGGAAAGCCGAGCGGAAGAGAGGCGGAGCCGGAGGGGCGCGTTGCCCGGATGTGGCTTCTCTTTCCGGAAAGCGGGCGTGCGCCGCGGACGCAGGCTCTGGGGGCGTGGCCAATGGGCGGATCTGGGCGGGGCCAGGGAAGTTGTTACGTGGGGCGCGCATCGCCTGGCTGCAGGTCCGGCCGTAATTCCTAGCGAGGACACGGGCCTGCCCCCAGCCAGCCAGCGCTGCTTACCTGTAGCGTAGGTAGGTTTTGTTGGATACGATGGGCCTGCATGTTCCTTAAACAAACGCTGAGAGCTTACCTTCATTTTTTTTGGAGAACGGTTTAGCGGCTCATAATTCAGATTGTAGAACGTCAGGTACAAGTTTTCCTAGAAAACGAAAAGGACAAGACTACACAGATAGTATGCATGGTACGTTCTGCCAGGGGCTAAAAGTTCATCAACAGGATATCAGTTAGCAAGCATATAATCCGTCCAGTACAATACTGTGTAGCTATTTAAGAATATTAAACTATGTCCTGTGATACAAAACAGAGTTGCAGGATCGGGGCAATTATAAAAAAAATTTTGAAGCCCTCTGCACTCAAAAGACGAATGTAAAAATAAAATTGCAAATAGCCAAATTGTTGGTTATCCTGCTCAACCCCCAAACAATCTTATTTTCAGAAATGGCTGCCAGATAACATAATGTGCACCCAGGCTGCAAACCACTGAAGTAAGAAGAGAGAAACGGGGCGATTCCCCTCTCCCCCTATTTTTTGGTAGTTTTGAAATCTATGAGGAACATGGTCTGGTTTGGTTTTTAAATTGAAACAAAACAAAGCTCCACTACATTTTACTGGAGCTGACACAGCAGAGGCGTAAGCCCCATCGGTTTGGCGCCGTTAATTCTCCCTGGCAACTGCTGAAAAGATCTGCAGACATTTTGGTCCTCCAAACACAAAGGAAGACTCGGAGAGGTAGCTAACGAGAACAACTTGCTGGCTTCTATGGACAGCAGGAACTCCGGGGGAGTTTTTTTTGGACGCCTACAAACCGTCTTAGCAGCCCCCTCCCCTGTGCACCATGGGGCCTCAGGAATACTTAGGACCCCCTGGACATTGTAGAGTAACTATGTTTAGATTTTTAAGATTTATTTATTTAAAAGACAGCACCTCAGAGAGAGAGATTCAGTCCCCAAATAGCTGCAACAGCCAAGGCTGGGCCAAGCTGACACCTGGAGCCAGGAATTCCATCCAGGTCTCCCACGTGGGTGGCAGGGGCCCAAGGACTTGGGCCATCTTCCACTGCTTTCTCAGGTGCGTTAGCAGCGAGCTGGTTTGTAAACAGTGGCTGGGACTGTCGCAAGCAGTGGCTTAACCTGCTGGGCCACAATGCCTGTCCCTAGGTGTTTCTCCACAGAACCCTAAGATTTTTTTTTCCCATTTAATAACTCGGCCCTTGAGAACTGTTCTCCGTGATGAAAATGCCCGACAAGGAAGAGTCAAAAGTGCAAAGGAAGAAAACTCACCATGATGGCAGCAGACCCTGAGGGTCCCCCAGCGTGAGAGGCAGGGCTGCAGGTCTCAGCTGAGCACCCTCATCCCCTGCCCAGTCCCTTCCCTGTTCTCTATGCCCACTTCTGATCATTAACAAGGCACTGACTTCCTTTTGCAAACCTTGGTTTCTGGGGCTTATATTCCTTTTGTAAAGAGCCGGGCTTAAATTATTTCTTCCTCAATGTAAGATTGCACTAGTGAGTGGAGGCGGAGAGAAGGGGGGGCTCCGTTTCACAGGATGCTGTTCTGGTTTGCAGCTGGAAGTCCAGAGACCCAGAGCCTGGGCACCCAGCTGGCCACGGGCATCAGGTCCAGCTTGGGCACCTTTGCACCTCCCTTTCTACACCTTGTTGTTCCTCGCCTGTTTATCTGCCATCCAGTTGTCCTACAGGTTGCTCTGCAAGTTGCCTAAACCGTGTTCCACGTAACTGTTCCCCCTCTTAGCCCAAAGCTCTCATTCCCTCTTTTAAGTGAAATGGACCCTCCTATCTACCAAAAGCATCCTTGCCACAACTTTTCTTCTCCCTTGGTAGTTTCTGTCTTGTATAAGCGTACCTCAAAAGATTCGTGGAAAATAGACATTTAAAGATAAGTTCAGTATGGTGCTGAAATCTTAAAAGTGCATGCATACACAGAGGTTTTCAAAAGGTGGATGGAAAATGCACATTAAGAAAAAAACTATGCATGGATTTCAATTTTTTAACCAAGATATTATTACTAATATATTATAGATTTATATTATGATGCTGTGAACTTTTCTTAGTAGCCTTGTAGTTCATGCACTGGAATCGCAGCGTCTCCACATGCTGGGACTCTGTACAAGTCACTTAATCTCTCCCTGGAGGTAAGAGCTGTTGACACTGGAGCTGCCACTCAGCCTGGCTGCGTCCCTCTGCCTGCAAATCATGTAGGAGGCAACTCAAGAGAGAAGAGTCACTTCATGCTTCCTGAACCAGGGAGACTTAATGTCCTATTAAACAATATATATGTCAAATACTAGCCTCCAAAGGCTTAAAAACCAAATCACACCGTACATTCGAGTATTTAAGAAATCACATTAATTAAAACAGGACAGTTATTCCCAAAATGGAGACAGGCCTGGAAACTCTGGCTTGCTTCCGCCAGTTTGGTCCCCAGTCTTCAGGGCATTCTCACCAAGCACCTGCATCCTCACCTGGCCCAACAGTCCCAAAACTGTGGGATGAGAGCTGCCAGCAGGAACTCCCAGGCTCAGGAACAGCCTGCAGGATGCTCGTGGAGTTCACTGAGAAGGCCAAGTTCACAGCTGGATGAGTTCTCAGAGCCAGCTGTGCCAAACCTTTTTACACAGATGGGAAAACTGAGCCCAGCTAGAATCCAGTGTTATACAGAAAGTTGAGACACAGTTACTGTTAACACTCATGCCTCTTCCAATTTGTTCCCCTGGAAACACAGGTCTTGGGGCCAAGTGCTCTGGTGCAGCAGGTTAAAGCCCCAGTCTGCAGTGCTGGCATCCCATGTGGGTGCCGGTTCTAGTCCTGGCTGCTCCACTTCTGATCCAGCTCTCTGCTATGGCCTGGGAGAGCAGTGGAAGATGGTCCAAGTCCTTGGGCCCCTGCATCCTCGTGGGAGACCTGGAAGAAGCTCCTGGCTCCTGGCTTCGGTTGCGGCCATCTGGGGAGTAAACTAGTGAATGGAAGAGCTCTCTCTCTCTGCTTTCATCTCTAACTCTGCCTCTCAAATAAGTAAATCTTAAAAACAAAAAACACAGGTCTTAAAATGGCGGGACGAGGATCTAAGCTGCATCCCGAAGAATGAACACATGGTTCAGAGGACGGGTTACCCTCCAACCTGTGGGCAAACGTGGGCACAGGGCATCCAAGCAGGCGGGAATGGGATGGCTAGCAGGTGCCTAGCCACGCACAGCGGCCATGAGGCAAGGTCTGAGAGAATTAAAACTCAGTCGTCAGTCACTAAATGTTCATTGCACGGCTTCTCTGGTCTTGCAGCATGGGTAGAGGCGGGGCTGGCAGTGGTGAACAAGACAGGTGGCCCCTGCCTGATGGAGCCTACTGCTGAAGAGCAGAGAAAGGTGCTGAATGGTGAAGAGAAAAGCAAAGGGTTTCCGAGCTCAGGGAGAGTGACTAGCGTGAGGATTGCAGGTTTTCTCGTGCAAGAGATGCCTGAACCAAACTTGGAAGAATTAAAACCTTGGGGTGGAAAAGAGCGCTCCAGACAGAGAAAGCAGCAGCACAAAGGTGCTGAAGCAGCAAGCAGGCTAGGGGACAGGTGGAAGGGCAGGGAGATGGACACCCAGCTGAGACTTGAGGATGGCACAGCAGCCTGGCTGCAGACAACAGTGTAGGGGAGGAAGGCAAGAGAGAGGCAGAGACCTCATCTTGGCATCTTGAACACTCCTGTATTAGCTGGGACCATCCAGGACATGTTAAATAACCATGACAGTGGTCCTGCTTGTCTTATACCTAGACTTTTTTATTTCTATAGCTTTCTTAATTTATAATGGACAATGAGCTACACAAATGTTAGGTCCCAATTTGAGGAGTTTTAACAAATCAGTACCTTCACAAATGAGCCCACAATCAAGAGAATGACGCAACCACTTCTGGTGGCCTCCTGTTAGTTAATAACCCTCCTCTACCTCCTCCCCAAGCCCCAGCCCCAGCCCCGGCCCCACGAACTGGCTCTTTCACTACTGGTTAGTTTGCACTGTGTAGAGTTTTAGATACATGGAATCACACATAGTTTTAGTCTTTGGCTTTTTTCCATCAGGCTAATTATTTTGAGATTCATCTACATTGTAGTGTACATCAGGAGCCCATTCCTTTTTATTGCTTAGTATCTCTTCCAAATATTTTCCCTTGTTTGAAAGGGAGAGAGAAAGAGACCTTCCATCTGCTGTTTCATTCCACAGATGGCTGTAAAAGGCCAGGCCAAAACCAGGAGCCAAGAATTCCAACCATCTAGGTCTCCCACATGGGTGGCAGGGTCCCAGTTACCTGGGCCATCATCCACTGTCTTCCCAGGCGTATTACCAGGAAGCTGGATCAGAACCAGAGTAGCCAGGACTCGAACCAGCACTCCAACATGGGTTGCAGGTGTCACGAGCAGTGGCTTAGCCCTCTGCACCACAGTGCCAGCTCCTGATTTATAAATTTAAAGGGATTCTAATCAAAATACCTACTGGGGCTTGACAAGTTGATTATAAATCCTTACTTTAAAACACAGACCAAAATAAAAAATATATACACACCAGGAACTCTAAAAAAGGACTGAAATTTAAGTGGCCTGCTCTACTAGATATTCTAACAACAGAGTTAGCATCATTCATAAACTTTTTTTCTTGTGCTCTGGTCCTGGCAGAGGCAGGGCCTGGGTAGGCCGAGTGGGAAGGGATCACCTTTCCCATTTCCCAGACAGACAGACCACAGGCATGGCCAGGTGACTTGCTCTGGACATGAAGCCTGAGTGGGAATTTAAAAACCAGGACATGGTCCACATTTCCTCCACTGCCTAGGATGGCAAAGGGTCCATCACACAGTTCACTGGAAACCCAGGGGACAGGCCTGCACGAAGACCACCACAGGGACCAGCGCTACAGTGAAGGTTAAGCCTCTGCCTGCAGTGCCAGCACCAGTTCAAATCCCGGCTACACCTTTTTTTCTTTAAGATTTCCTTTATTTTTTACAAGTCAGAATTATGGAAACAAAGAGAGATGTTCCATCCGCTGGGTCACTCTCCAGATGGCTGCAATAGCCAGGACTGGGCTAGGCCAAAAAGAAAAGCTTCCTACTGGGCTCCCACATGGGTATAGGGTCCAAGCGCTCGGCCATCCTCCGCTGCCTTCCCGGGCTCAGTAGCAGGGAGCTAAATGGGAAGTGGAGCAGCCAGGACTCGAACTGACACCCATATGGGATGCTGGCCCAAGTTTTTGGGCCCCTGCTACCTGGAAACTCAGATGAAGCTCCTGGCTCTGGCCTGGCCCGGCCTGTTTGTTGCGGCCATTTGGGGAGTGAACCAGCAGATGAAACTGTCTCTCCCTCTAACTCTGCTTTTCAAATAAACATTTTTTTTTTTTTAAGTCTGAGACCATTAGGGAAATGTGAATGTGGATAATATACCCAGAAACTGTCAAATTTCTCCAGGTGGGGTAATGACACTGCACTCCTGTAAACAAATGTCTGTAATTTTGAGAGATGTACCTTAAAGTGTATAAGGGTGGGGGCCGGCACTGTGGCGTAGCGGGTAATGCCGCTGCCCGAAGTGTCGGCATCCCATATGGATGCCAGTTCAAGTCCCAGCTGCTCCACTTCCGATCCAGCTCTCTGCTATGGCCTGGGAATGCAGTGGAGGATGGCCCAAGTACTGGGGCCCCTGCACCTGTGTGGGAGACCTGGAAGAAGCTCCTGGCTCTGGATCGGCTCAGCTCCGGCTGTTGCAGCCAATTGAGGAGTGAACCAGCAGAAGGAAGACCCCCGCCCCCGGCTTCTCCTCTCTCTCTGTTTAACTCTGACTTTCAAATAAATAAATAAATCTTGAGCAAATGTGACAAAATCTTTGGATGGCAGCAGCCCAAACACTTGGGCCATCTTCTAGTGCTTTTCCCAGGTCATTAGCAGGGAACTGGAACGAAGTGAACAGCCGGCACTCCAACCAGTGCCCATAAAGGATGCTGGCGTCACAGGCAGGGGCTTTACCTGCTACGCCACAACGCTGGCCCCAAGTGTGGTTGACATCCTAACAGTTGTCCCATCTGAGTGAGGGGGATGCAGGGCCCATAATGCCTCAGCTCTGCAGTTGTGACTGCTTGAAGTGTCTCCTGAGGGCGTATTTTCAGAGATCAAGTGCAACGGCAGCTGGAGACCTTTCTGGGCTCGTGCGCTGGGTGCCTTATCTTCAGTCACCAGATGGCTGTTTTCCTCCCACAGAGCCCCACCTCTGAAGTCTGAAGCAGCCGAGAAAGATCATTAGGAAAAGAAACGCAGTGGGCGAGGTTTCCAAAGCTCCCGGCCGGAGAGGGGCCGTTCTGGGGCCCCGGGGTAGGCCTCCGCGCCACCTGCTCGGGATTCAGGGTCCCAAAGGCAGCTTTGGTGTCAGAGCAAGTGACTCTTTCTCCTCATTGTATCACGTGTCCTCGCCCCTGCAAAGCAAATGAAGACACGCAATAGGACCTGGTGGCCCAAAGGCACCAGCCAAGGAGGCCTCATCTCTCCCCTCCTGTGCTGGAGGCCTCCCTGGCACCAGGCTCCTCGGACCCCGGGGAAGGGGCCCTGAGAAAGGACGCGGAACACCAGGCCAGAGTGCACGTTTCCAGGGGGGCAGCTGCTCCAGCCAGCCTGCCTCCCACCTCCACTCGCCTTCCGGCCCTCCTGCCCCCCAGCATGGGTCTACACGCAGGTCACAGCGCTGGGGGCCTGGGAGCCGGGACGGGATCAGGACCCTGCCCTACCCTCTCCCACAGCGCTACCCAAACTCTTAGTTTGAAGAGGGCATTTTAAACAAAAACAGCAACTGTAAACTTATAAATCATTAAGTAACTTAAAACATGTATTTACTTATATACACACATATATAAATGCACGTGTCTGTACATATACATGACGCTTTAGATGCAGAAAAATGTTAGAACTTAGCATGGAAACAGTGCAGGGCCGAGATCAGGAACATTTTATTTGGACATTAAGAAGTAGGGAAGCCACCGTCCCCAATCTCCAGAGCTTCTGAGAAGTGGCCGGGAACCGGTTAAGCAATGCCGTCCGCTCTCCCTCACCCCGACACCGCCTCTGACAGCCGGCACGGGTGCCTCTGACACAGCGGGAGGCCCCAGCTCCTCTGCGCTGATTCCTCCCCAGAGAACACGTCCACGGAGCACATCCGACAGAGCTCCCTCCGGAAACGCCTCTGCACAACGCCCCAGGGGGACGCCTCGGAGGTGGGCAGGCCCATCTGTTCTCTCCTTGAACCGGGTGGCTGAAGGCCACGACTTCTCCGCCCGCCTTCCAGGTAGGCCTTCGTCTGACTGCAGGGTAGTGGGATGCAGCAGCCCGTGGCAGAAAGCGACCAGGGCACAGGCTCCGCCCTTGCCCACCTCCCCCGTCAGGACTTGAGGCCCATCTTGGCCATCATTTCTTCATAGACTGTCCACGCCATTGCAGCCATCAGAGTCCTGCGGAGAGCCCGGGGGACGCTGCCTTGGAAGAAGCCACGCAGCCCGTAGTCCTACGATGAAAATACACATCAGCACTCCAGAAGCCAAGCAGCGTTACGACACATTACCCACCTGCATGAGCGCGAGGGTCTCTGTGCCAGCTCGTTTTTGAGTCTTGGTTTCTAAACTTTGTATCAAATCTATGAATAAAGGGACCAAGGAGATAACCAGTGAACTTACAGGGTTTGGTTTGGTTTTTGCCGAGTTGCTAGGCTCTACCTTTTTAGGCCTGCTCTTATCTAGGGCAGTTTCTTAGCTGTAAACTTTCACACAAGGTTGCTGTGTTCAGCTGCACAGTTTATACATTCTAGAGAAGCACTAACAGAGTCCAAGTCCAGACACAGGTCTGTTTCCCAAGCAGTGGGCCCTGGCCCCGGCCTGAAAGACGAGCTGTCTGGCCCTCCGGGCATTTGTCTATCAAGCGAGTGCACCTCTCTCTGATTCCCTGTTTGTTCTTGGTGGGCCTATCTTTTTAGGAATTAAAGACATAGCACCCCTTCCTCTTTGCTGAGATCTGGATTGGCAACTTCACAGACACCAAAGAATACAGTATTATAAAACTTTATGGGGGCTGGTGCTGTGGCATAGTAGGCTAAGCCTCAGCCTGTGGCGCCGGCATCCCATATGGGCGCCGGATTGTGTGCCAGCTGCTCCTCTTCTGATACAGCTCTGTTCACGGCCTGGGAAAGCAGCAGAACAAGGCCTGAGTGTCCGGGCCTTCACATCCACGTGGGAGACCTGTAAGAAGCTCCTGGCTCCTGGCTTTGGATCAGCCCAGCTCTAGCTGTTGCAGCCATCTGGGGAACGAACCAGCAGATGGAAGACCTCTCTCTCTCCCTCTCTCTCTCTCTGCCTCTCCTTCTCTCTGTGTAACTCTTTCAAATAGCTAAAAATAAATAAATAAATAAATAAAAAGAATAATGTGTCCACTAAGATTTACTGATTCCTTAGGTTTGAGGTGGAGTCCATGCTATGGTTTGATTATGGCTTGCTTCCCACAAACTCACACAGCGGTGCAAATCCTAAAGTCATGGCTAAGGGAATGAAGAGGGGGAAACTTCACTGACCACAGTGGTTAAGGTAAAGCTCCCGACTGAATCCTGCTGGCTTTATAAACACAGGGGGAGAAACAGAGACATCTGCGCCCCACCCTGTCTCTTGCTGTGTGATGCTCTCCTCTGCTCTGGGAGTGTGTGAAGGCTATCACTACTTGAGGTCCCTACACTGTACCCCTCCGGAACCATCTGCCAGAACAAACCTTTTATTTTCTTTGTTACACTAGCCTGCCTCGGGTATTTTGTTCGAGCAAGGAAAAGCAGACGAATGCTGTCTGGTGGCCCGCGTGCTGATGCACAGGACATACTAATGAAGTGCCCTTCCCCTCAAAAACAACATAGTGTCTGTGGTTCTTAACCTTCACGAAACAAAACAAACAGCTACTGGTGCTAGGGTCTCGCCCTTCAAAGCTTCTCATATAACTGGCCCAGATGCTGTGCTGGGGACAAGAGTTTTACATGTTCTCCAGGTGGCTCTAACGGGGACGGAGAACAAGAGCCACAGCTCCGGAGCTGGACCCTAACCACAAGAACCCACACTGATCCTACTGTCTTACTCTGAAAATGAGGGTCACTGCTTGGCCAATCCACTGGAACTTCGCCGGGGAGAGCTGCATGTGAGTTTTGATAACATCTGCAGGTTGAGTCACCAGAGAGGCCAGAATACCAGCAATCACCCCACAGCCAAAGTTTACAGCAGGAGCAAGGGCTGCATCCAACTGGTCTGAAACAGAATGAAGGGAATGTGAAGCTACACATCTCAGACTTCTCATCCAGCAGTCAGCAGAGGTTCCCACTCATTCCTCCCAGAAGCCAGAAAAGCCTAGATTCAAAAAAGGCTAAAAACGTTTAAAAATTTTTTAAATATACTTTCTTTCCAAAAAAGATTTGGTTTGTTTATTTGAAAGGCTGAGCAACAGAGAGAGAGAGATCTTCTGTCCCAATTCATTCCCCAAATGGGTACAACAGCCAGGGGTAGGCCAGGCTAAAGCCAGGAGCCAGTCGTCTCCCATACAGGCATCAGGGGCCAGGTCTCTGGGCCATCTTCTGCTGCCTTCCCAGGTGTATTAGCAGGAAGCTGGATCAGAGGCAGAGCAACCAGGACTCGAAGCAGCACTCCCATATGTGGTGCCAGTGCCACCCACCCCAAGAATTAAAATTCAGAAAATACAACACGGGGCCAGCACTGTGGTGTAGCAGGTTAAGCTGCTGCCTGCAGCGCCGGCGTCCCACATGGGCACTGGTTCGAGTCCCGGCTGCTCCACCTCCTATCCAGATCTCTGCTAAAGTGCCTGGAAAAGCAGCAGAGGACAGCTCACGTAGGAGACCCGGATGAAGCTCCTGGCTTCGGCTTGGTCCAGCCCTGGCCGTTGGAGCCATTTGGGAAGTGAGCCAGCAGATCGAAGACCTCTCTCTCCCTCTCCCTGTAACTCTGCCTCTCAAATAAATAAATCTTAAAAAAAAAAAAAAAAAAAGGATGGACTGATGGAGGTAGGAAAGCATGCTTCTGTGGTTTAGACACTAATCTGAGCTCCTCCCAGAAGTCCACGTGCTAAAGGCTTGGCCTCCAGGGCAGGCCACTGGGATGCAGTGGAAACTTCAGGTCACTGCAGGGTGCTCTCAGCAGGGACTGTCTCGGCCCAGTCTCTCTCTGCTTCCCAGCTCGCCACGCCACCCTTCCTCTGCACTCACGCCCTGCCACAGGCCAAACCAACGGGGCCACCAATCTTGGACACAAAACTCAAAACTCCGAGCTGAATAAACCTGTTCTTTTACAAAGTAAGTTGCCACAGGTATTTCACTGCAGCGACAAATATGAACCCTTTTGCACCCACGATCGCAACAAGCAGCTCAGGCGAGGCTGATGAACGATGCTGAAACATCTGAGGGAAAGGACGGCCTCCGAGTGTTCTCTCTCAAAGATACTTAGGGCTGAGAAGAGAACACTCACGGGCAGACACCTGGCAGACACTACCTTCTCCAAGTGACAGAGTGAACTGCAACACAACACCATCACATCCACAATTCACTCGAAAATTAGACCCTGTACTATTGTGACTTTTTCATAAATTGGATCAGGGTGGACTGAGAAGTTCAAAATGCACATCCATGCTTCCTTACGGCCTTAATTCTGTTGTACGCCGAGGCTCTGTCGGATGACACGCCAGGTGCCCAGGGAGCAGCAGCCCCAGCGCAGCTGGCCAGCACGGCACGCCTGCTCTCCTAACCACGTGACCCCGATCCCGCTTCCTTGCTCACGTCATGCACGGACACCTTGCTGAGTGCAGTCGTTCTGCAGAATGTCTCCCCAGCAACGCCGCTCTGCTTGGGAGGATCCTGCTCACTGCCCATGCTCGGGCTTGCCCGTGTCCAGCCCTGCAGGAGCTTCCCGGCGGGCGGGGCCTGCCTCACTGCCTCAGATTCGGCACCTTCAGCTCCAGGCAAACGGAGGGCTCCAAACAGTGCTAGCAGGGAACGCGGGAGGGAGGGGAAACAGTGCTTTCCTGCAGCTGCGCCGCTCATCAGTTTGCCAAATTTGCTGGACACAAACCCCATCAGGTGTTCCTTGAAAACTACAGGCTCCCAGATTATATCCCACAGCTGCTGTTGTAGGAGGCCTTGGACGGGGCCCAGCGACCCCAAGAGGAAAACTGGGAAGCACTTTGCAGGGCCTCTGCCAAGCATGCTGCACCCCCTCCCGCCGCCCCCGTTACAGCCGCATACGTACTCGTCCCCTTGGTAGGACTGAACCTCCAAGGGCAGGGACCAGGTCGGGCAGGTCCACCTCCGCAGCCCAGCACCCAGCCCAGTTCCCGACACAATCCTGGTAGGGCTCAGCTCCTAACACTCTGCTAAGAATCTGGAGCTGCTAACGAAAACAAATTGTTTCATAGCCCAAAGCAAACGGTGAGGAGCTGCCGTGTCTCGGGGCTCTCCCCCCGCCCCGCCCCCCCACCGGCCCCGCGCCTTCCCCGGCCCGTACCGTGGGGCACTACGCCTTTGGTCTGGTTGTAAAACATCAGGTAGATTCCTGAAAAGGGCGCGTCCCGCAGGAGCGTCGCTGTCAGGCCGCTGAAGAGGCCTCGGTGCCCCTCGCTGCGGTAGATGCTCCTCAGGGCGGCGTAGATGCTCTCGTAGCCGTACCTCCCGCTCTGCAAGGGAGCACACCACCAGTGACTGCCTGGCTCGCAGACCCCGCACCTGAGGACCCACCAAGCAGGCCCGAGGGCATGAGGCTCTGCCAGGGCACTGTGTCACACGCTGCCGTTCACACGTGGCCCGGCCTGCCTACACAAATGGAGACTGGCCACATCCACTTTGTTAATTACAAAGCGGCACTGACACTGACGGGCAGGACCTCCGGTGGCTCTGTTTACCGCCCCCACCCCCACCCCCGCCCCCAGTCCCCGAGAGCAGGAGACTCACCTCGTAGCGTGTCTTGATCACGGTGATGGGGGACATGCAGACCCCCGCAATGGAGCGAGAGCCCACGCCAAGGATGACCGACTCCAGGGCAGTAGGGGGATGGCCCCGCAAGAAATACTGCTTCAGGGAGTAGAAAGTACCAAAGTAGATTCCCATGCCGGGGACACATCTCACGATGGACTGTGGAAGAAGGAAATCAAAGACCCCACACTGTAAGGTTCTCTCCTAGCTGGGCTCTCTTCAAAGACCCCACACGTGCGCAGTGGAAACTGACCATGCAAGGCAACCAGCTTTTCTATTTTCTTACTTTTTCCTTTGTGTTGGAGCCTACCAGTTCCTCTGTTCAGTTCTTTAATACAGCACATAATACAGGCTGTAAACTAAGATCACACTAGTGTTGTAGAGTTCTAGAATCGTTCAGTTCTGTCTGACCTTGGCCACAGGCAGCATGGACACCAACTGTGTACTTGGGCCCAGCTCTGCTGCAGCTCCCTTCCTAAACTCATCTTTTTTGTTTTAAAGATTTATTTATTCATTTGAGAGGCAGAGTGACAGACAGAGAGAGGGAGAGACACACAGAGAGGTCTTCCATCTGCTGGTTCACTCCCCAAATGGCCGCCAACAGCCAAGGCTGGGCCAGCCTGAAGCCAGGAACCAGGAGCTTCTTCCAGGTCTTCCACACGGGTGCAGGCGCCCAAGCATTTGGGCCATGCTCTGCTGTTTTCCCAGACCATTAGCAGGGATCTAGATCAGAAGTAGAACAGCCAGGACTCAAACCATCACTCACATGGGATGCCAGCATCCCAGGTGGCAGCTTTACCAGCTACGCCACAGCATCGGCCCCTCCACAGACTTTATAAAGTTTTATTTTATTTTCATACAGACAGAGAGAGAGAGAGAGGCAGGAGTTGTGGCGCAGCAAGCTAAGCCACCACCTGGGATGCCACATCCCCTATCAGAATGTCTGGTTAAGGCCCGGCTGCTCCATGCTTCCAATCTAGTTTTCTGCTCATGTGCCTGGGAGGCAGTGGACGATGCCAGAGTGGGGTGGTCAAGATTTCCAACATGAGGATGGCCCAAATGCCTGGGCCCTGCACCTGCATGGGAGACCAGGAGGAAGCACCTGGCTCCTGGCTTCAAATGGGCGCAGCGCGCCATTTGGGGGGTGAACCAACAGAAGGCAGACCTTTCTCTCTGTCTCTAACTGCCTATTCAAAAAAAAAAAAAAAAAAGATTTCCAACATGCTACTCAGAATGGCACATAACTTAAAAACTTATGCATTGTTTCTGGAATTTTCCATTTAATAATTTTGGATCACCGTTGGCCACGGGTAACTGAAAACAGAAAAGGTAGGAACTACTGTACTCCCAGCACTCCCGACTCAGTATCCTTAGGAGCTGCGGAGGTGGATGAGAATTGGGTGGATACCAAGGCAGAGGGTGTGGCAGGAGACCCCAGACCCAGAGGTAGCTTACAGGGGACATCCCTTTCCAAAGGCCCAGAAGGCTCTCCGTGCGAACCACCTTCAGGAACACAGCCAGCATCCCAACACGTCTGGACCTGAAGGCAAAGTGGAGACAGAGACAATCACTTAGGCAACTTTGCCGTGAAGGAACTGCCCGCTCAAAGACCCTCCGTGTAGCCTCTTCTATAGAACACGAAGAATCTCTACAAGGCACCTGGAATGATCCTGACTGCCTATGCGCTCAGGCTTCGGCACACCCGTGTTTACCTGTTCACCGACACCGCAAGCCATTAGGTAACCTCCCAATTCATAAACACCTTGTATGCTTCCCACAGTGGTGAGCTGAACACGGAGACACAAAACAGACACTCAGTACGACGCTGTTTTCAGGAACCACCCACTAATCGCACCAGGCAGTACAACATCACAAGCCAGCATGATAACCCACAAAGGTCACCAGGGCAGGTCCCACAGAACTGCCAGGTAGGGACCCCACTTCACGACCAAGAAACGTCAAACACATTCACAGAGAGAGTGCACGCGAAGCACACCAAGGTTGGGCGAGGCTTGTGTTTCTCTCTGAGCATCCAACAGGGAGGAGTGGATCTAGCATAGCCAAGGCGCTCCAGGATCTGAGAAGGGACTGGACCCAGTTCCTCCGTGAAATGCCAGGCGGCAGGCCTTACCCATGGTCGGAGGGCTGGAGTGTCTGCAGGCGCGTTTTCAGGAGATCCAGAGGTTGGAAGAGCAGGGTGGAGCAGGTCCCGCTGATGGAGCCACAGAGGAAGGCCTTGAACACCGGATGCAGCTGCAGGACAAGAGAACAGAGAGTCGGCCTCCGTGCCTGGGCAGGCCTCGCCCTTCTCCACGCCAGGCCCAGCGGCTTCCTTTACAGGGTCCCTCAGAGCTCACCCGAGACGGGCAGAGCGCAGCTGGGAGTTAACAAAACGCTGTTGCCCACACCGCGCCCTGCAGGGCCGTCGCTCTCGCCTTACTTTTGCTCCCGCCGAGCAGTGAGTCTCATTTCCACGCTACCGCCTATACTTTCCTGTCTGTCCCAACTCAAGAAGTTACCGATCATCTCTTTATCTTTGCAAAAGTAAAATCAATTGAGCATAATGTTTTAACCCTGAACTGCTGGTCTCCAGGGTCCTGTGGCTATAGGACCCGCAGACACCTGCAGAGCCAAACCAAATGAAACCTTCAGCTAAGCCACTCCGAAACATGCAAGCACACTTCCTGTCTAAATCTATGAGGTTCCTTGGTTTCAAGCTCTTCCCTTCTCTTATACCCACCCACCTCACTGGAGCTAAGCAGACGACGGATGGTTCTAACGACAAGGAGTCACTCCCAGTTGCCGCCTCTCCATCAGCCTGTGCGCTGTCACACGCACTGGCGAATCTACAGGTACCACCAGACGAGCAGAATGCTTCCAAGACTAACAGTATCTCCCTAAAGCCTGTTCCAGGACCATCAGCTCCCAGCCCCGGGTTATCACAACAGGACAGGCACCCGGAACTCAGCAGAATTACAAATGACAGTGGAAGGACATTTTAAAAACTCCCAGCTGGGGGCAGGGGACAGCAAGCACTTGGCTTGGTGCCTTAGACCCGGCTGGGACATCTGCATCTCGTATCAGAGTGTCTGGCTTTGTGTCCCGACTCCACTCATAATTCCAGCTTCCTGATGGTGCACACGCTGGGAAGCATTCGTGACGGCTCAAGCTGTTAGGTCCTTGCCACATGGGAGACGTGGACCGAGTTCAGAACTGACTTCGGTCTGGCCAAGCCCCTGCTGCTGCAGACAAGCAGACCGGAGAGCTGTCTCTTAGTCACTCTGCCTTTCGAATTTAAAAACAAACAACAACAAAAACACTCAAGGAAATCCAAGAAGGAGGAAAAGCCCTTGTCTCTAAAGACCACACTTGGCAAACTCCATCCAAAAAGATCTTCTCTCTTCCTTCATTAAACACATTTGCACTATTACTTTTTCATAAATGACATACTAAAGCCCCAAAACATGATTACAATGAAAGTTAAGTTTTTTGTTATACTCATCACATAATTTCCTACTCAGAACTGAAATCTTTGTCATCTGTGATGTTTGTTTCACAGAGAAATCATTAAAAATTTTGCCAAATGAGAAAAGTCTGGGAGAGGGCTAAGTAAGTTCGGGTGAGTCCCTACTGAGCTGACCTCCATGTTTCAATAGCTCCTGAAGCCTCAAAGGCAACTGGAGAAAACAGGAGAGTCAGGCCACGGTGTGTGGGTCTGCACCAGCGGCCAAAGCCCCTGCCCGAGGCGCCCGGCACATAGGTGTGCAAAGCGACAGCCCCCGGAGTTCTGTGTCGCTCAGCCTCGTCCTAGCATCAGGGCTTTGACGCGTGCTAGGCGGCTCCTTTCCATCCGCATCTCCTGTGCTGGGGCACGGGCTCCACAGCCTCCACCTCCCCAGCCCAGTGCGACACCATCTCCACTTCCTCCGTGTCAGCCACTCTCACGGCCCAAACCTCCTCACGACAGTGGTCCGGGAGGGAGGGCTCACCCAGCCTGCACGCCCGGGACCCCTCTCCCGTCCCCGGCCGTATCTTACTTGGCTTCCCTGGTGCATCTGACACAGCCGCTGGCCACCCAAGGGTGTCCGTTTCTCGCTGCTGCTTTCCTGCCTGCCTCCCCCTCCACCGGCAGCTCCTCTTATCTCCCCTGCCTGCAGCCCTGAGCACCACCCCTGCACACACGCAGGGAGTGCCCATCTCCGGACCCCACTATCCCAGTGCCGCCCTCTTCTGCCCTCCATCCCAACATGTTCCAGACGGACACCCAGGTAGCAGTCTCCCCACACGTGCCTCTCCCCCAGTGCACACTGGGACACTCCAGGCACCCAGACCAGAACCCGGGATACACGAGATTCACTCGGCCTGCTGCCCCAAGACCAAGTGCTGCTGGTGGAGCCCTCAGGCCTCCCCTCTGACCCTGACAACCTACACAGCGGAGATTCTCTAAGGAGCGCGTTTACCCAGGACTGAGTAGACGGTTCGCACATCCGGGGTAAGGGTGCTGTAAGGACTCACGGCTACGTCTGAGATTACTGCAAGGGAAGCTTTTAGACCACAGGGAGGAGCCCACGTAAGCTGTTTTGAAACAAAACTCACTGATGGGGGAGGGTCACTGCCGGAGCTGTGAGTTACTGACTGGAGGTTCTGGTGCTACCGGCAACGTCCCAGCACCTGGCTGTTTCTGGGGCAATGTCTTCATAGAAAAATGCTGCGGGCCAGCGCCGTGGCTCACTAGGCTAATCCTCCGCCTGCGGCGCCGGCACACCGGGTTCTGTCCACGGTTCTGTCCCGGTTGCCCCTCTTCCAGTCCAGCTCTCTGCCGTGGCCCAGGAGTGTAGTGGAAGATGGCCCAAGTGCTTGGGCCCTGCACCCGCATTGGAGACCAGGAGAAGCACCTGGCTCCTCGCTTCGGATCAGCACAGTGCACTGGCCAGCCGTAGCTGCCATTTGGGTGGTGAACCAACGGAAGGAAGACCTTTCTCTCTGTCTCTCTCTCTGTCTCTAACTCTACCTGTCAAATAAATGGAAAAAAAAAAAAAAAGAAAGAAAAAAGCAAGCAAGCTGCAAAGTCGTGATTCAGCAACGTCACTTCCACGGCTGTGGTCAGCACCGGCAGTCTCTTAGGACAGCTCTTCTTAGCAGGTAAATGTGCCTCCTGGCTTCGCACTGGCGCAGCTCTGGCCATTGTGGCCATCTGGGGAGTGAACCATCGGATGAAAGACCTCTCTCTCTCTCTCTCTCTCTCTCTCTGCTTCTCTGTAACTCTGCCTTTCAAATAAATAAGTAATTTTTTTTAAAAAAAGAAAAGATTTATTGAGTCATTTATTTGAAAGGCAGATTTACAGAAGGGAGGGGGGAGAGAGAGAGAGAGAGAAGATCTGCAGTTCACTCCCCAAAAGGCCACAGCTAGGGCTGGGCCAGGCTGAAGCCAGGAACTCCATCTGGGTCTCCCCGTGGGTGGCAAGGATCCAGGTCCGCGGGCCGCCTTCCACTGCTGCGCAGGCACAGCCGCGGGGAGCTGCATCAGAAACAGCAGCTGGACTCCAGGCAGCACAGGCATCGACTTACTCTGCTGCGCCACGGCATCGGCACAGGCTCCTGAGTCACAGAGGTGAAGCCAGCGGCCAGGACTCAACACCCGCGCTGTCCTCACCGTGGCCCTGGGTCCAACATGAAAATCCAGGGCGCTTCTCGGGCCGCCCGGCAGAATTCCGCCGCGGCCACCCTCCCTCCTGGAAGGGCTCTCCGCTCAGCTGCTCCGGAGAACAGCGTCCCGGTGTTCCTCCTGCCGCTCGGCCTCTCCTCACCTAGATGGAGGTGCTCCCTTCTTTCCCAGGATCACCCCTCCCCGCCACGCTGCGGCCTCCGTTTCCACCCCTCCAGCTCCACTGCAACCTCTCGCCGGACCTTCAGACCCCCGAGCCACTGATGTTCCCCAGGCATCTCAGGGCACCTTCCCAAAGCTCAACTCATCTCTCTGCTCTGCTCCCAAGCCACTCCTCCAGGGAGCCTGGGCCCAGAGCTAGCCCAGGTGCCCAAGCCAGGCGCCCAGTGCCCACACGTGCTCCTTCTGCCTCCCACCCAGCTCCCCGAGGCACCCCTTCAGGGCACCCCGGCTCAGGGCCCTGCCATGCCTGGCCTGGGCGACTGTCACCACCTCACACCTCACAGCTGTGCCCCTCTCCTCCGCTCTCAAGTCTGCAGCCAGAGCCATCTCCAAAAACTCCGAATCGGACCACACTGCTTCTGGGTGCAGAGGTCTTCCACGAGAAACTCGACCTAACGCACGATTTGCATTTACCAAGTTAAAGGAAAAAAAGACGAAATTAAAATTCAGTGATAATTCTATCAGAAACCATAGCAACACATAAACGTCTCATTAACAGCTCTTTAATTAAAATTAAATCAATAGCCCTTCGTTGCCTCACAGTCCTCTTGGGACGCCCATGCGGCTCCTTCTTCCCCTCTGCCCCACGCTCTCCTCCTCACACTCTCCTCAGCCATAATGGAGGTTGCTCTGCCTTCCTGTCACCTCCGAACATCCTGACAGGTTGCAGATCTGCCCTAGCCCCTCTGTAGCTGCCTAACTCTAAGTCCTGGGACCAGGCTCAGGGCTCCTCCCTGCCGCAACACCCGTGCCCATCTCCACGACGACTCGGGCCCACGACAGGCCGAATCACAACTCTTGTCCTGTTCATGGTGGTCGCTCAAGAACTGACCTGCTGCACGGTAGGCATGCAACACCGACAGGCGAATGAAGGAATCTGGTCCTCTCTCCCTTGAGCCAGCGCCCCCCTCCCCACCCCCCAGCTCAGGGACAGGCCAACCTCTCAGTCTGCTGCACAAGGCTGTGGGGATGCCCTGTATGTCAGCTGCTGACCAGTGCTGCACGGGGCTTGTTTGAAAGCCACTGTCCTTCACACCCCAGGGGCCGGAACGGTCTTTTCACCACGTCTAATCACAACACAGTGACTACTGGCCCAGTAAATACCTGTCCAATAACTGCATCAAGCCCGTAACTTTTTGATTACAGCAGATGCTGAATATGAATACCAGCAACACAGACTAACCTCCAGTAGGTAAAACAGCAGTAAGAACAAGGCGAGCCTGAATGGTCCTAAGATAAGGGATGGTACATCCTTATTATTCAAGGTAAATAAGACAAATAATCCAGTATTTTGGGGGTAAGAAAGGGGAGGGCAAAATAAAATACACAAACGCAAAGAGAATAAGTAGCCCTTAAATAGTTTTGCAAACTGGTTCCAGAAGCAGTTCTTATTCTTCAAAAAAAAAAAAAAAAAATCCTCACTATAATTCAGATCTGGAGGCAAAGGCTAGAAAGACCCAGAAAGAGAAAAAGTTAGGCAGGTTGTCAAAAACAATGACGTAGGGGCCAGCACTGTGGCGCAGTAGATTAAGCCTCCCATTGCAGTGCTGGGGTCTCACGTGGGCACCAGTTTGAGCGTGGCCACTCCATGGCACAAGTCCCTGGGCCCCTGCACCCACATGGGAGACCTGGAGGAGGCTCCTGAGTTCAGCCTGGTCCAGCCCCAGTGGTTGCGGCCATTGGGAAAGTGAATCAGCAGATGGAACATCTCCATATATTTCTGCCTTCAAATAAATAAATATTTTTTAAAAGGTTTAAAAGCAAGATTTACTAGTCAGAGACCTCCAGCCAGAATGGCTCCAAGAGAAGAAAAACCCGGGCCGGCGCCGCAGCTCACTAGGCTAATCCTCCACCTGTGGCACCGGCACCCCAGGTTTTAGTCCCGGTTGGGGTGCCGGATTCTGTCCCGGTTGCTCCTCTTCCAGGCCAGCTCTCTGCTGTGGCCCAGGAGTGCAGTGGAGGATGGCCCAGGTCCTTGGGCCCTGCACCCCATGGGAGACCAGGAGAAGCACCTGGCTCCTGCCTTCAGATCAGCGTGGTGCTGCACCACAGCAGCCATTGGAGGGTGAGCCAACAGAAGGAAGACCTTTCTCTCTGTCTCTCTCTCTCACTGTCCACTCTGCCTGTCAAAAAAAAAAAAAGAGAGAGAGAGAGAAGCAAAACCCGGAGAGCTGGTGGTAGTGGGGTTTTAAGCACAATTTTGGGGAAAAAAAAAAAAAACTTGACATTCAGTTACAAGGTGGGGGCAAAACCCACCAAAAGAGCTGATTTGCAGTCCTTTATCCTGTCTGGCTCAGCTCATAAAACAAAGAGCCGCAGAAGGGTGGGACACCTAATTTCCTATACAATAAACTGGGAGCACAGAAGCAGGAGCCACTCCCCTGCTAGTCTCACAAGATTGCTCAATATATCTTTAAAAAAAAAAAAGTCGATGTAGAACTGCAGCTGGCGCCTTTTTATACATCTTTTTAAATGCCAATTTTCCGCGCTCCCCTCCAGCTGTGGCTCTCACCGGAGGCCCCTGCCCGCCCGGTCCAGGATCCGGCCCGCAGCCCGCCTGGCACCTGCCACCTGCCAACATCCACGCTTCACCCCGCCCCGGCCCCGCCCCGCCTCCGCCTCCACCAATGGCAGCCCGGCGGCCCGACCACGGCAGCCAATCCGGACGGGGAGGGGGCGTGGCTTCGCCCCACGGGCCGCTTCTCGCCGCAGCCAGCCAGGAGCCGGGGACCCGGGAGGTGCCCACCTCTCTGCCGGGCTCGCTCCAACACCACCGGCTTCTCAGACTCGGCGCTTTCCCTGGGCCTTGCGCAGGTCCAAAGACCCGCCCAGGCGTCCACCCAGCTGTCGCTCTCTCCGAGCGACGCCCGGTGGCGCACCCACCTGGTTGGGGGCCACCCAGGCCCCGCAGGGCCACCGCCCCCCCGGCCAGACGGCAGCCTCGCCGCGGGACCTCCGCCTGCCCGCCCGTCCCCCCGCTCCCCGCCCGACACCCTCCATCTCCCCCGCCACCGCCCCAAGGGTCACGGACTTCCTCGCCCGAGCCGGCGGTCCCGACTTGTCCCCTTACCATGAGCGTTTCCACCGTGTCGCCCACATCTTGGGATGGCAGCAGCGCCGGGCGCGACTTGTGAATCATTGGCCGGGAGGCCCGCGAGTGCTCTGGGCCCAGGGTGGCGCCGGTGGGCTCCCGGGCCCGGCCCTGGCGACCCTGGCGGAAGAGGCACGAGGACGGTGGGGCCCGGGCGCCGCGGTCACACCCAGCCCAGCCCGAGGATGCCGCCGCGGACAGACCGCCGCCGCTCTTCACTCACTGGCTTCGCAG